ACTCCGGCATTCAGCTGAGATAGGAGGCGGGTCGCGGGTTGTCATCGTGAGCGGACACTTTTCTTCGCTTCGTAATCTTTTTTTCTGTTTGAAAATTGAAGTAATTTTTATCGAGACAGAATGGCAGCTGTGACAGGTATGATGTGATGATCTTTTGAGTGTGTGACAGTGAGATTTTGACTGTAAATAGGTTGTGGTGTTTTATAAGTTGATGAAATCTAAAGACACATTTTATTTGTAGCTTTTTTTTGTCATATTCTTGATTATAAAATATTGAATATGTGATAGAAGGAATATAGCAGCTCAGTGAATCAATGAAATATTACTTACTGATTGGTTCTGGTCAGACTATTGAAACAGTTGACTGATATTAATTCTTTGTACCGTATATTATTCATATTTTCTCCTGCAATTTCCCTGGTACCTTTTGTGTCGTATTGTCGGTAGCGGTGGGGGTTCCACTGTATAATTTGATATACTTGGATAGTGGAGTGAGAGGAAGACATTGATACCAGAGTTGTTATGAGTTATGAGTTATGTTACGACCTTTTCTATGCAAAGTTAAAAGCATGAAGGAACAGTTCATGTATTAATATCACATTAGTATCCGAGTTTAGTTATACATAAAGAGGACTTTACTAGAGAGCACTGATATGCTTTGTAAATCAAACTACAAAACTTGATATGTGTGGCAAGATCTTGTCTGGATAACATTATTATGTGTCTGTCAGTGTCAATTTATATTACATTTATTGTATATATTAGTGAATTTGCAGTAGCATCCTTCAGGCAAAATCATTAATTCATAATTCAGATTCATTCATGTTGTCCACACTATTGAATGCCTAGGAAGGCAGTCTTTCAAACATTTGTAGTGTGGTAGTAATGCAGACTCTATGATACTTAGTGTTCACTCCTGGGTGGAAAAGGCTGCTGGGATTAGTCCAGCAGTGCACCCTCCTCAGAACTGACCTAACTGAATGATTGACTGATCAGTGCAAAAAATATCCTATCACTTCTTAAAAATAATCCAAGTTTTCATTAATTAAATCTTGAATTTCCTGGGCCAGTGCTACAGGGAGTTGGCCAAACAATCCTAGTTTTATCAGGGAAAGGTGGAGTTGGGAAGAGCACAGCAACCGTTCAGATAGCAGCCACACTTCGGGCAAAAGGGCATAGAGTTGGTATTTTGGATGTTGACCTCTGTGGCCCCTCAATACCACGAATGGTTGGGGTCGAAGGGAAGGACGTCCTAACAACTCCAGAAGGGTAAGCTTATAATTCCTTAAAGTATGGCATTTCTTTTCTCATAACTCTGCTTCCTTCTGGATCATTTTCTTTATTATTCTGATCATTACCTTTCTGTGCAATGTAACAAACTGGGATGCAGTGGTTTGTTGCTTTTTCACTATATTTTTTTTTCTAACTTCCAGCAATTGGGTTCCAGTCTATGCTGATGAAGAAAAAAGATTAAGCGTTATTTCCATTGCATTTTTCCTAGACTCAAAAACTGAAGCTGTCATTTGGAGAGGTCCAAAGAAAAATGGTGAGATTACATATTTTATTGTCTATAAATAAAATCATATACTATGAAAATAAAAACACTGAAATGTGTCCACTATTTGATATAGTTCACAGAGTCTAAGTTATTTGGTAATTTTTAAGTGGCCAGGTTTTCAGCATATTAATCTATTTTACTCCATTTGAATGACAGCAATGATCAAGCAGCTGTTAACAAGTGTAGCTTGGGATGTAGACTACCTTATAGTGGACACTCCTCCAGGGACTTCAGATGAACATATATCTGTTATGGAAAACATCAAGTAAGTTTTTTATTTTTATTTTTTGATAATTATTCTAGTTCATGAGAAAGTGTAGTGTTTTTGGTTATATCATGTTATGCATAGAAGAAGAAATATGAAACTATATGAATTTATTTCTATTGCTTAATTTGTTTAACAAGATGCCTAGATATTATACAAGATGTGGGTATTTATATTAAATCCTAGGCACTTGTTAGGTTGATACAACAGTTAGTCTATAAATGATGTATTTATATTTCATATACAGATTGTCCCCTACTTAAGAACATTCTACTTATGAACATTCCATACATACAAACAAAATTTTTTAAGTACTAAAGTCCAAAAAATAGTTTGAAAGATGCTAGTAAACTTCAAATTTTCCTGGCACAAATATAGTTCAAGAGTCTGGTACTATATAAGGTATGTCATACTTATTGGGATTTATTTACAAGTATTCTTAATGTAAACAAAACTTTAAAACAATGGGAAAAAAGGTAATGGAGACCCAACTTTCGATATACAAACAAATTGACTTACAAACAGTCTCTCGGTCCCCATTATGTTCTTAAGTTAGGGACTTACTGTATATTTATATATTAATCAATGCAACAGAGGCAAAAGACAGATTCTTTTAACAACATTCATCTTTCAGGTCAGCTCCAGTTATGGGTGCTGTTCTTGTCACAACACCTCAAATGGTGGCTGTGGATGATGTTAACAGAGAATTGACATTCTGCAAGCGAACAGGCATAAATGTACTTGGTATCATTGAGAATATGTCTGGATTTGTGTGTCCCAGTTGTTCAGTAAGTAGCATTTTATAAGCAGTTTTTATGCTTAAGCTGTACATTTTTTTTTTTCCTGAATAGTCATTTTGCTTTCCACTTTTATTCTTTTCTTTCTCTCATATTTTGTTGTATAACAGACTTTTGCTTTTTTTTATTATATTTTTTATTCCTTCAATAATAATTGTGAAATAATGAATATAGTAAAATACACAATATTGATTTTACACATACAAAATAGTTATCTTTAAAGAAAATATATTCACACAGGAATGCAGCAACATCCTTGCAACGGGAGGAGGAGAACAACTTGCAGCCAAGGCTAAAGTGTCCTTTTTAGGCCGAGTACCAATTGACCCAAATCTTGTCAGATGTACAGAAGAAGGAAAAAACTTCTTAGATATGTTTACTAGTTCTCCAGTAAGCGAGGTTTACCGCAACATAATTTGCCAACTCGTAGGAGAGGACCAAGAGGAAATGGAAGTGGAAAATTAAATGGTTTCTATATTAATCCTCAGATTTAGCTTTTTTTTCCACCAAATAATTTTGTTTATTTGTATAAAATGAAGATTAAATGTAATAGAATTTGATAATAAAATAAGGGAAATTGTTATGAGTAAAATATCTATAACCTATGGGAAGTGGAAAGCCCCAACAGAAAATGGTTTTATTGAAGTTATGAAAGGCCTGACTTAATTCCAGTGTTCTGCAAAAAGTTTTTATAAATAGTACACAGTGAACCCCTGTCAGAAAGGCTAGACAGATGACAGAAGTCGCGGGCATGAGTGTCGCACACAAAATTCTGGTAAGTTGCAGAAAGAATTTAGCTATTAAAGTTACTATCAGTACTATTATAATGGCACTATTTTAATGAAGTATATAGAATTCTAATTACAGATTTGTTTATCTCAGATAATTATAATTTACTTGACTATTAAGAAACAAACTAATCTTCAAACTTTAGGTTTTGGTTTCTAAAATTTGCATTTTGTAAAGTAGTCCTGTTTCTTTCTCTTTATTAGGTTCGTTTCAAAATCTAAACTTGTACAGAATGGCAAACTTTTGGCTGGACTGCATGGTTTGGCAAAAAAAAAAAAAAAAAAAAAACCATCTAGCATTTATTTTAATCATTTCTGCAATCTGTTTCAAGAAATAGCCGAGGTATTTAACAAATATAAAAGAAGATCAATAGGTATAAAAATAAAAATAAAAAAAGGAAAGAAATAAAAAATAAATGAATAAAAATAAAGACTGTATATTAAAACATGTACTTCGAAAGCAGTATCTAAGTGTTACTAATATGCTTAAGCTTTAGTTTGCTATCTTCTCCACTTTTTTCACATTGCAAAGTGAAATACTGATCAAAGTATAACATCTTTAACCCAGTTAGTGCGGGTGGCAAGACTACACTGCCATACCCACTGTAATAAAAGTTTATCTATTGTCTTTACCCATAGATGGCTCTACAAGTGCTCCGTGACCAAAGAGAGTCAGCTATTAGTCTTACCTATCTCACCTGTTTACCCTTTTCCTTGATTTTTTGAGAGCTTCTAATTTCTATTGCTTTATTGTATTTGATGTTATTAATATTTTAATAATAATTTAATAACTACAATATCAATAAGAATGATAACAATGTCAATATTAGTAGTACTGGAAAGAAAAGTACATTTTCCCAAAAATTCAAGGAGTGGGGAAATCATGTGTAGTCACTAGGGCCAACTGATAGACTCCTTGGTGGCTGAGCACACGTGGAGCCATCTGTATGAAACAAAACTCAAAAATATCTAAAGGGGGCAGTACATAAACCCGCAGACATTGTGTTAAGGTAAAAATGTTAATTACTGTCTTGATAACAGAAATCAATACTGATATACTATAAAAAAAATTCATAGTCATCACATAAATCAGATCTGTACAACAGAATCACTTTCTACAATGGGATCTCAGTGAAGGACAGAAGTTCAATGAGTATCTCTTTATGCTATTTTATAAAAGGCAGTTACATTGCAGCTGTCATATATATGTTAAAAAATATACAGCTTGTCAAAACAAATTTTATTTATGTATTCTATGCAAATATTGCACAAGTAACTAAAATTTCTTAATATTGAGAATTTAATATCTAAATTCTACAATTTTACAATTAAAATATCCAAATGGATATACTTCAATATGACTTTAGTCATTGTCTATTGAAGACATGCAAAGTAATTATGAAGAGTGACAAGCATAGCCTCTTCATAATATGTCTTTTAATTTTCTAACTCCCCAAAATAACAGAAAAATACGTACTTACAACTATCTAAAACATATATCTTTAAAACCCTTGATGGAATGATCAACTTGGTACCACATAACAGTCTGTTCTTCCGATGGAGAACTTGTCATTCCAGGCATCAGAAATGTT